TCACAGTCTTTTATTTATGTTCACTTCTCAAAATATCTCATATAATATTAAAATACAGTTACAGTCTTGAATATTCTCCTAAACATCTAAATATCAATCTGCTTTTCCCTTATAGCTTTGAACTTCTTATAAGCAATTATTAAATAGAGACAGTAGATAAGAACATAATTTCCCACCGTCATTTTCCCCTCAATAAAATGGGTCCAATTGTCTCGTTAGACTGACCCCCTGTCATAACTATAAAGGGAAGGGTAACAGCCCTCCTGTGTACAATACTATAAAATCCCTCCTGGCCAGAGACTCCAAAATCCTTTTACCTGTAAAGGGTTAAGAAGCTCAGGTAACCTGGCTGACACCTGACCCAAAGGACCAATAAGGGGACAAGATACTTTCAAATCTTGGTGGGAGGAAGGCTTTTGTTTGTGCTCTTTGTTTTGGGGGTTGTTCGCTCTTGGGACTAAGAGGGACCAGACATCAATCCAGGCTCTTCAGATCTTCTGAACAAGTCTCTCATATTTCAAACTTGTAAGTAACAGCCAGGCAAGGCGTGTTAGGTTTATCTTTGTTTTCTCAACTTGTAAATGTACCTTTTGCTAGAGAGGTTCAAAGTTACAGCAAACAGAGATAAACAAAGGCTAGAGGGGGTTCCTCTGGGCTCTTTGAATCTGATTACCCAGTAAAGTTATTTTCCATCCTGATTTTACAGAGATGATTTTTACCTTTCTTTCTCTAATTAAAAGCCTTCTTTTTAAGAACCTGATTGATTTTTCTTTGTTTTAAGATCTAAGGGGATTGGATCTGGACTCACCAGGAATTGGTGGGGGAAAGGAGGGAGGATGGTTAAATTCTCCTTGTGTTAAGATCCAAGGGTTTGGATCGGTGTTCACCAGGGAATTGGTGGAGGAGTCTCTCAAGGCTACCCAGGGAGGGAAAGGTTTTTTGAGGGGGGAGACAGAGTTTCCCAAATAACTCATAAATCATTTGGGTGGTGACAGCAAAAGCAGATCTAAGCTGGTAGTTAAGCTTAGAGGTTTTCATGCAGGTCCCCACATCTGTACCCTAAAGTTCAGAGTGGGGAAAGAACCTTGACACCCCCCACCTGGTAAGGCAACTCCCATCTTTTCATGTTCTATGTATATACATACCTGCTACTATATTTTCCACTCCATGCATCTGATGAAATGGCTTCTAGCCCATGAAAGCTTATGCCCAAATAAATTTGTTAGTTTCTAATGTGCCATAAGGACTCCTCGTAACACAGCTACCACTCTGAAACCTGCCCTGTAATTGGGGTTTATGTTTCTTGCTATCAGTTTGATTGTTTAGTGAGAGAGACTGGTTTATGATTAACCATGAGGTATCTCCCCTTTTTTCTTTTGGCAACAAGAGGGGTGAAACACTGACAGGACAGTGAGCAAAACTTATTCTGTCAATGCTCAGGCAGTACCCATTCTGTGGGCTAAAAACAGCAAATCAGCTTCCATGTCTGTCAGCCTGCCACATGTCACAGCAGTGTCCTATTACTGTCTGCTCTCATTCCCATCTCTGCACTTTTTATCTGTCCCCCCTATTTAACTGACTTCTGATTCCTGGTGGTCCTACCCCTCCCCTGAAGGGGAGGTCATTCATGTTTCTGTAATGAGTTCACCTTGGAGGCCCCACCTCTCCTGAGAAACTGAAATAGGCGGCCACATTTCTCCAGCACTACATTCACACAATATTTTAATTCTTTACTGTAATTTGCTTATTAAAAGACAATAATAAAATGTATATTGTACCTCCACGTCCAACAAATTAAGAATGCTATTGTGATAAAATAGAGGAAAATTTGTGGGAGGGAAGAAAAGACATCATAGTCCATTAGCTTGAACATTTACTGTTGTGTGTGATACAAAGTATATTTTACCTAGGGGCTAGACATCCTGCCTCTGGTGTATTCCCATTTACTGTCCCTTTTTTTAAAGTGAATTTACTGCTCATGAAAGATTATGCTGAATTTTCCTGTGGAAGAATCAGTCTGGCAGTGACAGTACAAGCTTCTAAATCTTGCTCCATAAATGTGTTTTAACTATCATCTGCATCTCTACAGCCTTGTCGACACTATGAAATTGTACAGTTTCTGAACAGTGTTGGCAGTAGCCATGTTAGCTGAATGAGGGCTGAACAGAGTTTGGGAGTCTATATACTACAACAAATGGTGTTCAGTGACCCACCGGCTAACCACTGAACTGTGCTCAGTTCCTATTCAGCTAGCAGTGTTGACAACTGTGTTCAGACATAGTTACAATATGAAAATTTTGCCAAGCCTTAATGGTGAAGATAGTGCAATCTCCATGGCTGGTGAATCATTAGCTTCTCTCCTAACACTACCACCAAGGGTTCTAGTGAGTGGCACAGCTATGTATTCCTTTAGGAAATAGATTGAGACCACCTGCTCATTTCACACAGGTCACACAAATTGTCATCACTCGTTACTTTCATATTACAAATGTGGGCTAAATTTCAGCCAGTGGTCAGGAGATGAAAGGCTTAACTTCTTATCTCCTGAGGCATCCAACACCAAAGCTTGGTTGTTCTGAATTAAACCTGATATAGATTGCAAGAATTACAAAATACACAGTGTAGTTTGATAGCAATTAACTTGTCCTTATGCACCGCTATGGGCACCTGCATGGCCCCACAATATGCCAACACTTTTATGGCTGACCTGGAACAATGCTTCCTCAGCTCTCGTCCACTCACGCCCCTTCTCTACCTACATTACATTGATGATTTCATCATCATCTGGACCCATGGGAAGGAGACTCTGGAAGAATTCCGCCATGATTTCAACAGCTTCCACCCTACCATCAACCTCAGCCTGGACCAATCTACACAGGAGGTCCACTTCCTAGACACCATGGTACAAATAAGTGACGGTCACGTTAACACCACCCTATACCGAAAACCCACCGACCGCTATGCCTACCTTTATGCCTCCAGCTCCCATCCCGGACACACCACACGAACCATTGTCTACAGCCAAGCGCTGAGGTACAACCGTATTTGCTCCAACCCCTCAGACAGAGACCAACACGATCTTCACCAAGCAGTCTCAAAACTACGATACCCGCATGAGGAAATAAGGAAACAAATCAACAGAGCCAGACGTGTACCCAGAAGCCTCCTGCTGCAAGACAGCCCAAGAAAGAAACCAACAGAACTCCACCGGCCATCACCTACAGTCCTCAGCTAAAACCTCTCCAACGCATCATCAGTGATCTACAACCCATCCTGGACAACGATCCCTCGCTTTCACAGGCCTTGGGAGGCAGGCCAGTCCTCGCCCACAGACAACCCGCCAACCTTAAGCATATTCTCACCAGCAACCACACACCACACCATAGTAACTAACTCAGGAACCAATCCATGCAACAAACCTCGATGCCAACTCTGCCCACATATCTACACCAGCAACACCATCACAGGACCTAACCAGATCAGCCACATCATCACCGGTTCATTCACCTGCACGTCCACCAATGTAATATACGCCATCATGTGCCAGCAATGCCCCTCTGCTATGTACATTGGCCAAAATGGACAGTCCCTATGTAAAAGGATAAATGGACACAAGTCAGATATCAGGAATGGCAATATACAAAAACCTGTAGAACACTTCAATCTCCCTGGACACACAATAGCAGATTTAAAGGTAGCCATCCTGCAGCAAAAAAACGTCAGAACCAGACTTCAAAGAAAAACTGCTGAGCTTCACTTCATTTGCAAATTTGACACCATCAGCTCAGGATTAAACAAAGACTGTGTATAGCTAGCCAACTACAAAAGTAGTTTCTTTTCCCTTGGTGTTCACAACTCAACTGCTAGAAGAGGGCCTCATCCTCCCTGATTGAACTAACCTCATTATCTCTAGACTGATTCTTGCCTACATATTTATGCCTGCCTCAAGGGAAATTTCCACTACATGTATCTGATGGAGTATTCACCCACGAAAGCTTATGCTCCAATATGTCTGTTAGTCTATAAGGTGCCACAGGACTCTCTGTCGCTTTTTACGGATCCAGACTAACACGGCTACCCCTCTGAAACTTGTCCTTAGGCAATTTACTGAACAAATCAGCATATAAGTATGGTAATGATAATAAAGTTGCCCTAATTACCCTGACAGTTAATAAAAATAACAGCACTACAGAAAAATATTGCAAGAAAGCCAGTTTCATGGTACTTTGGGTTACAAAATAGCACTAGCACAATCAATGCCATTTTGTGGATGAAGATGTAGAAAGAGGCAGAGACAATACTTAAAATGAAAGTCTAGAAAAACAGAAAGAGAATTGAGACTCCAGAGAGAAAATATAAAGCAAGGACAACAAATTCCAAGTTGCTTTTAGAGACAATATAATGGTATATTTTGATAGGAACTTTAGACTAAAACATCCAAATATTAGTCATTTATGCTATATAGTTTATCTCCAGAGCGCTGTGTTTAAATTACATATGTGGGTGCCATTATCTAACCTAACCACAGTAAGCAGATGCTTGTTCACAGCAACACCTTGTAAGAGCAACCACCGCTTAGGAGCAACATGTATTTTCTTTAGAGGAGCTCCAGTTCCTTATTCTTTAATCCCATGTTACAAAAAATAGGCATAGAGCTCTGTTGCTATATATGGTACAGTACTTATTTTATTAGATGTTCTTGGCCTTATTTTTTGCATCCCTTGTCCTCCCCCCCGTCACTCTCACTCCTCGCACCAGGTCAGAAATCTAGATTGTAAACCCCCCAGCGCAGTGACTGTCTCTTTTTTATGTCTGTAGAGTACATTAGGCACCGTTAGTAATCTGTGTAGAAATAAAATAAAAGCGAGCTCTGCAAGGCATTGTTGCACCACAGGCACGTGCACACCAACCCGAACCTGCACGCAGCTCGGTGCACCCAGCATGCACATGGTGTACTGAACACACACGTGTGTCCCAAGCATGTTGCCAGCACTACGTACGGCTCTCCGGCGAGCTTGGCCCAGGAGATCCGAGCAGCTCGCGAGCCGGGGCGGAGTCCCCGTTGGCGCGGCCTGTGTACAAGGGGACGAGTGGCCTCCCCGCTGGGCCCGAGGAGCGGGTGGCACAAAACGCGGGGGAGGCGCAGAGCCGCGTGCCCGGAACGGCCCCGCCAGCTCGCGCAGCTGCAGCTGCCACAGGCCGCCCCCACCCGCCGGGCCGCTCCTCCCCGCACGTCCCGCCCCTCCCTTCTCGGCCGTCGGCCCCCGCCCCGGGTTTCCTGCTGCTGGCGGAGGCCGAGGGAGAAGGTGGCGGTGGAGGCGGTGGACGGAGAGAAAGCGCCGAGGAACCGGAGAAGAGAGGCGGCTGCTGCCCTCCCCCCGCCCCCGGAGTGAGTCCAGCGCCGCCGCCTCCACCACCTCCTCCTTCAGCGTCTCTGCCCCCTTCCCTCCCCCCGGCCACCTACCTCCCCCAGCAGCCGGGACAATAGAGCAGGGAGATGTCCTCCTCCGGCGGCCACCAGCACAGCCAGAGCCGGGCCATCCCCACCAGGACGGTGCCCATCAGCGATGCCACGCAGCTACCTCATGACTATTGCACCACGCCCGGGGGGACCCTGTTTTCTACCACTCCTGGAGGTAAAGAGCACCCCCAGCTGCCCCTGTGGCCAGGCCAAGGCCTCCATCAGTACACGCACCAGTCTCCAACCACTCGGGGCTCCGTGCAACCAACTGCGGGGAAACGTGCATGCAATTAACGGGAGGGAGAGAATAGAGATGTAGCAAAGTACATGCAATTAACGTTACACAGCTGGCAGTTTTAATGGGGGCGGGGGAGCGTGGAAAGCGCATGCAATTAAATGGGGGAGGGGAATTTGCAGAGAAGTGCATGCAATTAATGCTATAGTGGGTGCAATTGAAAGGGAGACCGTGTGGGGAAGTGTAGTTAGTCATATGCGGAGTAGGCGCGACCCTCACTTTTTCTGAAGCACTCAGCTTTATTACTCCTTGTGCGGTGGGGACCTCACCTATAGGGTTACCTCATTTCTACCGTGTTCCTCGGGACCTCAAAGCAAAGGGGTATAGGAGTGCTATACAGGACCAGAGGCTTTGGTGGGGAGCAAAGAGAAATAGGTGCACCAGAGATCGCTGTACAAAGCGGGGAGGAGAGACTCCAGCACGAATAGGACCTTCCCCCCCCTCCCCCGGTATGTATTTGTAATGTTTGTTTTTTATTTTGGAAGGAAGGATGGAGGGGAGGGAAGGAGCTTATGCTGGATCTGGAGCCAGTTACACTGGGCCCCAAGCTCCTTCTCCCTTTTTGGTGTGGGACTAGCGGTGAGATATTTGTAAACAAGGCCTACGAGTCTAGGACAAGCCCGTGACTGTTGCACAATAGGAGAAGGGGACTAGGGGGAATTCTCCAGCAGCTGCAGCAGGGAGAGAAACATGAACTCCACCGAGAACTCGGAACGCCCCCAGTGTGGAGCCAGCCCCTGGCCTTATTCAGGGGGCTTGGGATTCCTTTAGCTCTGACTAAAGCAATGCATCAGCCAGCGTGGAGGGCTCAGTTTAAGGAAGTGCTAACTTTGCACTGCAGACTAACACGGATGTAGACTCTGCAGCAACCTCCATTTAGGTCTGTTCTTGGACAACAAGGCTTGCATTAACCTATTGATATGCCTGCTGCTCTTGTTGATTTTATTAATAAAATTGCTAAATAGGAGTCAAGGCATAGGAGCACCAGAGATCCTATTTGTATTTAAAAAACTAAAGCTTAACCTTGTCATCTCCCAGAAGACAAGGCTGACCCATGAAATAATTCCTCCCCACCACCCCAAATAAACATCAATTAACAGTAAGTCCCATGATGTTATATGACTTGAACATTGCATGAACAGTAGAAGCTGATGTGCATACAGACAGGCTTCCTGAGCTAAATATTGATTTTGTTCCCCAGAGGGGGAGCTCTTGGGGAAGCACTCACAGATATTTCAGTCAGCAAAGTTGTTTTATTAAATAGCCAAGCAGTCATTTTACAGTAGTTTTCAGGGTTGCTTTAAAAATAGTGCTCTGGTTCCTGGCTTACATCAGTGGTAAAATATGTGGAAAGAAATTATTAGTGAAACTCTATCCTAATTTTCCTTATGGTCAAACAGGACTAAAACAAAAATATTCAGGGTTGAGAACCTGCTGGGTTTTTTTGCGGTATAGTTTTCCCAAAGCCCAAACCTTATTTCCACTTCAATTTAGACTCAGGATTGCTTCCATTCCTCTTAAGCTGGATGATGTTTGCCCTTTCATTGTTACAAATTATGCAGATTATGTGAACATGTGAATTCCACATCGTTGCTCTATCCTATTTTTCTTGTGTCCATAACTTTTCTCTGCTGGGCGTGGGTAGGTTTGTATGTACGTTGTTGATATCTGCTAAAGAAGCAGGCCTATCCTCCACTGTCTCTTGACTACTTCACTTGCTCACTTTGCAGATGGCTATAAAAATGTAAACACTAGTGTGACTTTTCTGTGGCTGCCAGAAAATAGCAAATACAGTTCTAGTGGTGTGTGCATTTTACAGGCCATGTGTAATATTGCTGCATCCTCCTGTGTAATGGACTTCCATCATTGCACTTGTTCTTTCTCCATATTTGGTATTTTAAAATCTTTCTGGCTATTAAGGTATTAAGTGGGGGGGTCTTGCTTCTGTTACGTATTTTTTGTTGGCAGGAGGTGGCTTGCCATTGAAGGTAATCTGTAAATGAAGGAAAAAATAACTATTATTAGAAGTATGTGCAGAATGTGATAAAGAAGCTGGATAAAAGGGACACAATATTAATAAATGCATGGAACCTAAATACTTGTTCTGAATCTACTATAGGTTGTGAAATCCCTACTTGGTGTGACATTGTAGAATGTATCATGCTGGTGGTGTCAAATCTTTAAAATATTCACAGGTGATGATGATTTTAAAAACTTCACAAAATGATACAATTTTTGAGAAGGTGAAGGACTGGAGTACCTGACCTCACAGGCTTATACTAGTTTACAATGGGGTTCTGTTGTGTTAAGGGTAGGGTTGCAGGACTTTGTTCCTATTTTTCCTTAATTAGTGTACATTTTAAAAATGATTCTGGGGTGAGAATACCCCATGGGAGCTTCACATCGGTACTGCTGCTGCCCAGAAGCACCAGAATGAAACTGACCAGAATCTGTTTGCTGCTCCTTGTGCAGAATATTATAAACAGGAGTAAGAGAGGTACAAAGGGTGTTGGATGCTGTAGAACTTGGGGTGTGGAGGAGAGCTGTCCTGGTTTGTGCCTTGATGGGGTTATAGAGGCAGCTAAGTTCCACCTTCTCAGCCTGGTGTATTCAGGGAAGAAGTAACATTTAGATTGTCTTCATTGGGAGATCCCAGAATCCCACAACAAGGAAGAGGCATAGTTAAATAAATAGGAGAGCTGCACAGAAGAAATGGGAAAGGGAATGATGAAAATAAAAGGTGGGAGGAGAGAGAGGTTTAATTAAATCAAAGTGGGAGTGAGGGGGAAACAGAGATGGACCTCAAAAATGAACTTCCCTACCCTAAAATATTTGAATTTAAAAAATAGTAGAAAATTCCTTCTATCTATATGGCTCCTGCAACAAGCCACATGGAATGATGCCCTTGGTTCAGTGGTAGGTGTGACAGTTTAGTGAGTGGTTCAGAATGAGAATTGTTGATCCATACTGGGAAACTAAAAGAAGAAATGATGTTAAGTTTGAGTTAATGTGCTGCATATCATTTTTATAGTAATAGTTAATATTTAGGACTTCATTAAAACTTTACAGAGTCAAATCCATGGACACTGAACGGTACTAATCCTAAATTATTTTTAATACAGTTCAGATTTTCTTTTCCTCCCTCCATCCAGAGTGTTCTTGATGGCTTTATTTTAATGCAGTATTTGAATATAAAGGTTACGAATAAATCCGTGGTAGCTACATCTGGCTGCCTTTAAATGTATCACTCAAGGAAATGAAGGACTTATGGCACTAGCTTGAGCCCATTGTACTACAAGCAGACACTACACTGCTAGTTAATCCAGATCTGCTTTGTCTCTGATATCCCTGTTCTAGGTCTTACAATTGGCATCGTCTACTCAAGTACCAAATTGTGATGTCGAAAATATCATGTGTTCAGGACAACGCCATCACTCTGCACTTAAAACAACTTTCATCCAGGGATCTCAAAGTACATTACAAAGATGGGAAATACTACTGTATTATTTATCTCTGTTTTACAGATAGGGCCTCAGTTTTCTTATGAGGCTAAGTAACTTGCCCAGGTTTATAAGAGATAAGTGGCAGAGTCAGGTATAGAACCAAACAACTCCCAGTTCCCTGCTCCTTAGAATTGTTGCCTTCCAGAAAGATGCTCTATGTATATCCATGTCTATCTGAATTTTTTATTGATTGTTGTTGTAAGTAATCCCTAAAATCACTATAACTGAGATTAGTGGTTGAAGGAAATCTATATGTTTAGTTTATTTACTTTGCACATTCTGACAGCACTTTCTGTCCAGTCTATTTAACTGTTTCCCTGTTGCTCTGTCCTCAATGATGTGCAAGACCCACAATTTTTTTATATTAAAAATAAAATGTGATTGTAAAACTCCTAGTATTGGTAGGGGGGGCTCTCACAGGTGTAGGACTACTGTTAAATTTGTATTTTTTAAACTAACTTCATATTAATGGTGTCCTTTTCATAAGTGACAGAGGTAAGAGTTTATCCCAGATACTGGAAAATTAAGAGCTAGTGCAGAGCCCTCAGGAACAGGGTATTGAAGACTAGCATTTGTGAGTGTGGCTGAGGACAACTGTAGGGGACAGGGAATGTACAAAAACAGAATCCTAGTTCGGTGCTTAGGGAGCAGCAAGAGCCAGTAGAAGCTAAGGACAGGCAACACAGAATTTTGAATGAGGATGCAGAGGCTATAGCTAGGATAAATCATCCCATTTGTACAGAGCCCCTTCTGTTTTCTGAAAACAGTTGCCTGTCCTTTTGAGTTCATGGTGGCTTTCAAATTAAAGCACTACCAACTACACCTTGTCACCTGTCATGGACATTGGATGTTTTCCCAAGTTGACAGAAATTGTTACAAGGAAGAGAGGGTCCTGCCTTTAATAACTTCCTTCTGTAGAAGGTTTCTGGGAATGTTTTGAATTGATCCAGTGTTTAACTCTTTTTTGCATTCAGAGGTGCCTTTACATGTGCAGTCCTCCTGGTGAAGGATCCCCTTAAAAATTACCAGTTCAGAAAACAGGAGTGGAGGTCCCTGCGAACTGCCCTGTTTGTTTCTGGGAGAGTGCCCTTGACTTATCTTTTCATCATTCTGTTAGACAGTGGCAATTACTATTTCATGTTTCTCCCTTGCCTGGAGCCATTATTTCAGGAGGCTCCTTTCCTGCTACGTGTGCTTTTTATTTCTGCTTATCACTGGAGTAATCTCTCAACACCCACAGTTTGAGAACCTCTAAGGCACTGGGTGTTTTTTTTTGTTTTTTTTTTCCCCTTCTTGAACTGAGGCAGGAAAATATTTTGTGGACTCCCAATGCCCCCTGAATCCAAGTAGCAAAATTTCTGAAGAATATTTCAGCTG